GTAAAAGTTTCAGAAATACCCACGCCTGGCAAAGTTAGCGAGCTCTTACTTGAGTGTGCCTGCAACGTCCGTGCCACCAGAATGAGTGTTCTGTGTCACGCACCCATCTCCTCCCCGAACATGTAGACATGTTAATCTTTTTGAACAAAATATGGCATAGGCCTATAGCCATAGCCAAGTTAAATGTGTTATTGTTGCCAACAATTCAGGCTGTTTTTACCCGGGTTTCGCCTACTTGACTAGGGAGTCAATGAAAGTAGTGAAGTAGGCTACAGTATGTGATTGGTCATGTATTTTTAAAATTGAGGCATAGCCTAGAGCAGGGGTGTCAAACTCATTTTGGTCCGGGGGCCGTATCCAACCTACTTTGATACCAAAGGATCAGAAAACTATATACGTGCCATATATACTCATTTTGGTATATCTTCATATATACCTCAAAAATAGCAGTAAGTTCAAATATTTGTGCAGAGAAACACAAATCTATTACAGAAATCTTTTTTTAATTGATGAACTCTTTCTTTTACAAAATATTATAATATTATGAACAACCTGAAACTTTAAGAAAAATACAATTTCAACACAATGTTTTAACATGAACTTGTATGCAAACAGGAATAAGTCAGTTTTTGTTGTAAAATCCTGCACTCGGCTCCACTTTTCTCATGTTGGACATTTTTCTGATGAGGGTGTCACGGTCAACAGTCAAAACGATCGTCCTTTAAGAGCGTTTGGAAAGAGACAAGTCTTCATTTGTGCTGCTCTGGTGGGAGGGGCCATGTACAGAGACACTGGAGACGCTGCTGTGATAAACACTGCAGAAAATTACCAATATTTTAATAGAAAATATAATTACAATATTTTAGCAGAAAATCAGTCGAGGGCCACATTAAAGGTCTTGGAGGGCTGGATCCGGCACCCGGGCCTTATGTTTGACACCTGTGGCCTAGAGTTTAATATGGTTTCACAGGTGGGTTGCTCAATGAAGTTGTTCATTTCTACTGTGATTTGGAAGGTTATTGTTGTTTGATTTAACCATTTGTGTTTAAATACCTGTTTCACCCAATCTGTCATCATGTATGTGCGTGTGTGTGCGGGCGGGGGAGGGTGGTCGATTTTTGAATAGTGCTTTTGCCAAAAATTCACATCCCTAGTATTGACTTTCTTCCCAACACTAAGTCCAAGTCTTAGTTCACTCTTTATTACTGTAAGTCCATTAAAAAGCCTAGTAATTATAAAATGTTCCTGTTCCTATAACGAGAATACAATACGATACCTTTAGCTATAGACTAGCTGTTATAGGCCGCATTCACCTCTAAAGTTTTTATAATGAAAGTAGTTTGAAAAGAAATGGAACAGCGAGTCCATATAATCCTGTATTAAATAGCTGTGTGAATGTAGGCTCTTTGTTGAGCGCTGAGAGCCCGCCCTTGACATGGGTGGCATTGAAAGCGAAAGGCCAAACGCGCAGAGATCTCCAGGAGTATACAAAAAGAAAGTATGCCTCCAGATAATGAAAAAAATCTCACAAAAGTCTATAACATCAACATAACTGACCCTTGAAAAATGCTGTTGACTTTGACCACTCCACCCACACTTTAAGTAGTAACCTTTTCCACTCCGCGTTTAGAAAGATCTGAAAAGGTTTGGTCAGGAATATATAAAAATTCTGCTATGCAAGGATAGTTAAAGATATATACTGTGTAACTTTTGAGTGTACACCAACTGCTTGTGTCCATGGCGTTATATTCCTTTGCCTGGAATGTTTCACAGTACGGCATTAACTACTGTAACTTCATTGGGACAAGTGTGATTATGTTTCAGATAAGAAGATAAGAAGGCATGCTTTTCAAGGTCTTTTTGAAGTTGTTTTAGATAAATACTTTGGGTTTCAATTACCAAAATGCAATAATTGTCTAAATATTTAATTGTTAATCACTAAAAAATAGAAATAAAGCAATTGAGTAAGGCGTACTAAAGACTTTTTGAAAGCCTAGACTATGGACAATGTTGGTGATGAAGAGGAGATGAAAAGGCTGAGGTGGCTGAAAGCAAAAGAAAAATTCAATTCTGTCAACTGGAGAAAAGTTGAAAGCCTGAAAACCAGCACACCTACTTGTTTACAGCTTTTGTTTGTTAGTGAGAACTGTGCCAGAGTCACATTAAAGAGGTAAAAAGAACAGGAAAGACAATCCATCTTTGAATAGGAATGAGGGGCTTAGACATCATATCTCTCTTTATTTACAACTTCATCCTCAGATCTAAATCAAAAGTGGGTAAACAATAGTGATAGCCTAATAAAAGCTAATAAAAATGTGTCGCTCGTCTGTGTCCTGCAGCGTCACAGCAGTGTCCGGGGGAAACCAGGTGAAGACAACAAGAAATGCCTCACTCTCACTCACTCTGGTGTTTCAGTTGGTGATTAAATGGTTCATGCTACAAAGTATTTCCTCTGGAAGGTCTTCTGCCACATGTGTTGCCATATATGGTGTAAAACGCCTGTATCTTTAATGAAATGACCTAGAGTCTGAATAGAATGAGCTAACAAACCAGAAACTGTAAAAACAAGTGTGGTAGTTTGAGTGGACTTAGCGCTAGAGATCTGCATGGGAAAGAATTTTCAGTTCCACTCCCGCCTGCACCCGCAATGTGCGGTCACACAAAGAAATTGTAATTTTCATTAAATTTCATTTTCATGAATTGTAATTTCCTGCTCCCGCCTGCAAATCCAACAAGATGGGGCCATTCGCTTACCCTGATTCATTGGCCGATTTCACTTCATGGAAACGATCTGACCTCACAGCATTAGGATTCGTTCGCTTGATGAAAGGCGGGTACATTTTTTTATTTAATTAATCGCTGCTACTTGGTCGTGACGTATGTAATGCGCTGCTAACGGGGCTAACTCATATATTAAGCCTTTCCCAAATCCCGTAGGAAGAAGGACAATAACATTTTTCCCCTTGATAAAATTCACCAAACATTCTCTTTGTTGCGGCTTTAAATCCTCGATCTCAGAAATCGTTGACAACACAGAATGTATGGATCTTCGCTGAGGAGCTGGTGCCCAAACTCGCACTTCTGGGGTTTTTGCAAACCTTTTAGTATATTCTGATTTTTGACCTAGTCACTGGAGAGAAATGAAATTGAGTGGAGGCATGCGGTGGTGCCAGTCTGGCTAACATTCACTTTCTTAAGCTCTATCAAACACATCCACAAGTTTAGGCTGTTTAAAATTTGTAATGGTTTTATTAACGCCAAATAAAATATCCAGCACAAACTATGCATGATAGACATACATGACTCTTTTCTATATTTTACTTTACACTTCTATTTAGTTTGAGGGACTGCAGTTTATCATCCAATCCGCCTGCTCCCGCATTGTGCGTCCCGATCCTGCTTTCAAAACGTGTCCCGTGCCGCACTGTTTTGCATCAGGTCTACTTAGAGCACCTCCCTTCAGGCAGATATAAGTCAGTGTTCACCAACAATCTGTCCAGTTGATAGAATTAAAATTTTCTTTTGCCATGGATCCTACCTGAACGACTGAGGGTGAACACTGAAGTGGCTGATATTGCTAATAAGAATTTAATTTGATTTTTATTCAGTGCAAACAATTCAGTGTGAAAACTGTATTTAAAAAAAAAACAAAAAAAACAAAAAACTAAAAAAACTTAAGCTTCGATGAGATTACATCAGGAAAATCCATGTCCCAGTGTCCCTCCAACACAACCAAATGATCCAAACTACTCTGAACAACAAAGACCTATTAGGTAAATATTAGCGCTACCATTTTTCGAGCATTTATTTCAATTTACCTCATAACGTTAAAAGGTTCATTGAGCAAAATGTCATGAGCCATATTTGAATTTTCAAAGCGGTTCTGACATTTCTTAATAACCGCTATTTTAGAGAGAAAACTGGAAGGAGCCGTTTAGCTTTGTCCCTTTCTATTAGTCAGAAAGCGACGCGTGATTTGTAAGTCTAATTCAGTCATGCATAAATTGTACATGTTTTGGTCTTTGCTTCCAGTTTTGATAATTATTGAATAAACACGACGATTATCAGTAGCAGTGTGATATTTTGACAGAGGTCATTTGCATAAATATGAATTTTGCCATCAAGCACTTCTGTACAAATCAGTTATTAACCCACTATTAAGTCAATTTACAGTTTAGTCAAATTAAAGGGTTGTAATTTGATGACACGTTTAAAGGGCCTGTAATGCAAGAATTCAGGTTTCTTTTTAAATTTAAAAGGTCCTATATTGCGTGAAATTGACTCTTGTGAGCTTTAAGTCAGGTTAGAATGTTGTTACCTCCACGAAAACGTACCTGGAGTTGAGTTTGTTTCATTCACACATTTGAGTAACACTTTATTATTAATCTGTCTACATCTCCATATCTCAAAATGCTCTATATATATATATATATATATATATATATATATATATATATATATATATATACTCTGTGTATAAATAGATTTGCGTTACTTATGAGCATTCACACAACGACATGCACTTGTAACTTGTGTTGTGCATATGGTTTTGGTCATCCATGAATAGAGAAGCAAGGTTTAATGCCATACTGAAACATTCCAGACAAAGCAATAACATTTCCATGAAGAAAAGCATTTGACGGACCGTCAGCAAAAGTTACACAATGTACCTTTAAAGCTTTACATTTTGCATGTGTGTGTATGTACGTGTATATGTTGTGTGTTGTGTCTCAAAACACCTAAGAGTATATGTATGTATATATTTATGTATATATAAGAACACAAATGAATGGGCCAGATCTCAGGAGTTTACGCACGCATGTCTATATTATACTTGTTTTCCTTGTGTTCTAAGCAATATGTAAGTTCTGGGAAAACATGCTTCATTGGTAATATGACATAAAAAGTAAAATTTAATAAAGGGTCATCTAAATACATTTTAAAAACATATATATACATTTCAAAAATTCACCTACATACTATTTTTTCTTTCCATGTAGCTTCACTCGGATGTGGACAAAGGCGATGGTAAAGTGAAGTACGTCCTTTCTGGAGAAGGAGCCACGTCCATCTTCACCATCGACGAGAACACGGGGGACATCCACGCCACCAAACGCCTCGACCGAGAAGCTCAGGCCTACTACACCCTGCAGGCCCAAGCCGTGGACCGGATCACCAACATCCCCGTGGAGCCCAAGTCCGAGTTTGTGGTCAAAGTGCAGGACATCAACGATAATGAGCCCAAGTTCCTGGATGGTCCTTATCTGGCAGGGGTCCCCGAGATGTCTCCACTGGGTAAGTCCCAGTAGATGAAACAAACTCACATATTTAAAACTTTTTCAACAAACTATTTCAAAACTTCAACATTACAACATTACAAGAATTTCAAACTTGATTTTCGATACTGAGGAATAGACTTGATACTCAATACCAGTTTACTTAGACAACAGAATGTGATTTTCAACATTAAATCATAATGTTTTTTTTTTTTTTATATTCCCATGTGGTCGTCCCAAATTGTAAAAGTTACTTAAAATGATGTAGGCATCTTTATTTTGAATATACTGACAAATTAATGAAATCTCTACTCTGTCTGAAGCTCAAATAGTTACAGTACATTCAACTGAAAATGTATAGTTTAAATCAGTTTTATATTTTGTCTTTGTCGTTTTTAGACTCTTAAAAGCAGTGTTTGACAGTGTTTGCTAAAGTGTTCATTCTGCGACCATGGTAACCGGTGAACATTCCACCACAGAAATACATGCAGAACTCCTCAGCGTGGACCCACTGCAAAGTCTCAATAGAGAAATTGCTGGCCAACACAAGTCAAAATAGCGTGCAGTCCTTTGTGGAGTCCTTGCACCACTGTTGTAGACATTGTCCTTTTTGTAAGTTACACCGACTTAACCGTACATGCTTGGATGCACAGTGTCTATTCTCTCTCCCATCTTTTGGCTTTTGTCCCCCTTTTTCTTGCACTTTCCGTTCCAACATCTGCATTTGATAATTTTCCACTCGGCTGAACTTGTCTCCTTGGGTGCTGGGGTCACGGGGGAACTTTGCGATATTCATTCAGAGTCCAGTGTACTCACTTTGTTCACTAATCACACTGGGGTTAATGTAACTTTTTGCACTTTAATTCAGGTCCAGTTCTCTCAAATTTTTAGAAATACAACAAGGCAACCTTGACTTACTTTGCCGTCCTTTTAAAAGATTCAAAAGACACCGCACACCCTTTTTTGGTCTTCAATTGATGTCTGAAAAGCTTTTAATATCTTTTGTCTTGCAAGTGTTGTTGTACTACTAATTTGTACTAATTGATCTACCAACTGTGCATATGATGTTTTAAAAGCAACTTCAGTCCAACTTCAGCCCAGACTAGGTAAATTTGCAGCTTTCTGGTCAAAAATGCTTTAGTTTTGTGCTGCCTTCAGTGGCCTCTGCAATTTCCACTAGTTGGTGACATTACGTAAAACTGTTCTGATTACAGCCAGGCGTTTCTGATTACAAACACTTGGCTGCAGGAGCTCAGTTTGAAGTGTGGATACTTCTTAGCCCAATCATACTGTTCCTTGTATCTCCAGACCCCCGCCCCCCTCACTCTCGTCTTTAGTTCAGCAGCTCTATTGAAATATGGTTGTGGGCGGAGTTTAGATGTTTAATTCCACTTCAAAGGTGCACTGTGTTACTTTTTTGGTTGAGGATCCACCACCCGCTAGCATCCATTGAGAGGTTATTGAATCAGCCCCATGGAGGCATGTCAGAACTATGGAGAGGCGACCCTGCTCACACTAACAACATGCTTTTGATGGTATTTCTGAACAATAACGCAACTGAATGCGAGATAGATGAGTTCTCTCAAATTTGTGCATTGCCTAGCAACTAATCTAACTAATAACTAAGGGTTAATTGGTTAATATATGTTTTTTTCTTCTTCCCACTCCTTTTCGAGGAATGTGCTTTTCTGTTGTTTACAATTCATTTGTAGTATGCATATGATTATTGTTTCTCTCTTGACACAAACTCAAAATAAAAACGAATCAAATCAAATCAGCTAATATGTGACATAGATGACACCTTCAGTCCATAGACTGTATAAAGAAGTGGAATAAGTGAGTGTGACGTCACCCACAGCATTCGTCTCCACTCAAATGAGGCTCGCAATGTTAACAGTTACAGGCTCTATATTATGAATAGGATTTTTTTGACGGACAAAATAGTGAAAAAAAACCCCACCAAGATCATGTGGAGGGGGTTAATATGGGCATTTTAAGACCAAAATGACGAGGCTTACAGCAGCAGTTACAAAGAGAGGGGCCACAATATCCCAGTGTAAGTCAATGCGAGCCAGGGTCAATAGGAGCTGGAAGAGCCCACATGTGAACTTATTTGGAACACAGCTGCTCGTGCGCATGACCGTTTATATAAACACTCTATGCTTCAGGCCTATTTACTGGTCAGATTTACGTAGAGAGGGCAATAAAGACCAGTGGTGCACCAGTGGGGTACACTATTCGTGACATCATTAATGACCCTACAAAAGCCATACACTCAGTACAAACATCATAAAAAAAATCATTAAAAATTTGATCTTTTCTTTTCTTTTTTTTCTCTCAAAATGATGCAGAATCATGTTATTAACATAAATGCCATTCATAATCACCTACAGAACATAAATCATAGGCTACAACACATGAACCAGGACTGAACCAGGACTAAATTAGGTCTAAACCAGGGCTACACCAGAAATGAACTAGGACTGAACCGGGACTTGACAGAGAGCGATAGAGAACCCTGAGCTTGCAGAGCAGGGCGCCTGGAAAGCGCGATCTGGCAACAGTTGCGCTTAGCCCCGTGGAGCGCAGAGCTCTGACACGCAATCCTGGTTTAGTCCTGTTTTAGTCCTGGTCCCTCATGTTGCAGGTCACTATAGGACAGTAGTGCAGATATCATGAGCCTATGTAGGTTGTTTTCAACATTGCTAATAGCTCCGGTTTGACATTTAAGCTGTAAGTATTTTATATTTGTTATTTTTTTATATCTCACGTCGGGAGAAGTGGGTGGACGGCGTACCCCTGCATACCACGCCCACTACAGCCCTGATAAAGACACTTGTAATGGAATAAATGCATGAATATATGTGTTGCCTGGAAACATGTCTATGTATTTCCATGGAGACAAGGGAGATGATATTTTCTAGGCAAATTACAGGTCACATCTATGGAGAGGCGACCTCAGTAACAACATGTTTCTGATGGTATTTTTGAGCAATAAATATAACTTGCAAATATATCAGTTCTTTCAAATTTTTGGATGTTTTGGAGACTGACCTTGACTTATTTCGCCGGTCTTTAAAAATCTGAATAGTGGGCACAGTTTTTTGGTCTTCATTTGATGACTGAAATGCTTTTAATATCTTTTGTCTCACAGTGTGAGAGGTCTGGTACTATGGCCTTGTAAAAATACCATTTAAAAAGGCCACTGATGAAGCCCATTTTGAGACTGAAATATTTAAAATTTAGAACTGAAGCAAAAGGCAAAATAATTGTAAAGAATAGTTGGAAATTAAATATTTACAGATTCTGTTTTGGCAACGATTCCTGAGATCGAGGATTTAAAGCAGAAACAAAGAGAATGTTTGGTGAATTTTATTAAGGGGAAAGACGTAATTTCCCTTTGTGCCCTACAGGATTTGGCGCATTTCATACGTCACGACCAAATAGCAGCGATTGGTTAAATAAAAAAAATACCCGCCTACTGTCAAGTGAACGAATCCTAATGCTGCGAGGTCAGAAGGTTTCCACGAAGTGAAACCGGCTGTTGACTGGCCTGTCAATGTATCAAAATGCTTGATAAAATTGCTGTCAAAAGATGATATTGGGGTATCTTGTTTTTAACTAGTTTTCAAGTTGTTGTATTATGTAATTTATTTATTTTTATTTTTATTTATTTATTTATTAGAACCCCATAGGGTTTTATGAAGCTGTCACTAGTCTTCTTGGGGTCCATTAAAACAGCATAAAATCATTAGCACAACATTAGCATTATCAATCAAATACCAATTAATACAGTTCATGCAGAGTCATAAAACATTCATTAGAAGTCATTACATTACAACTGTTGCAGACAATAAGAACGTCACAGTGTTTCTAATATCTATGTCACTGTGTTTGGGATTTGCCAATAGGAGATAATTTGTCCCGACACCAAAATTACAAATTCTGAATTCGCAATTTGCAATTTGGTCAATCCGGGAACATTGATGTGCCACGGCAAGCTGTTTGAAAATCAAGGGTGCAGGATGAAATCAGCGAAAACACAGATATTAGACAGATGTGTCCACAACCTGATATTTTCATAATAAAAGTCTTGCAATAATGACTTTTACAACATGAAACCTTTTGGCCTGAGAATGTGCGCTGGTATCAGAGGATGGAGGCGGGCAATTGTCTAATTCTTTCAAATCGATATGAAAATCCTCAAAAATGTGCTAAAAAGTGTCTGTAGTTGAGGTTCAAGTATTGTAAACATGTTTCACTGCCTTTTTTTTTTTTTCTTTCTTTTTTTATGAATCCATCTTTACATTGTAATACTTTGATAAAACCTTCAAGGGCCCATATTACACTATTTTCAGATTTATTTTACAGTGTTGTTTCCTCATAAATAAATATACCTGGAATTTTGTTTTTCTCTCTAAACAGAAAACTCTTTGTTCCACCTTGTGATGTCATGTGGCAATGCAGGAAATGGTCCACTGTGTTTTTAAACTCCTTACACTAGGTTTGGGCAGTAATACGGTATTACAGTATCCCACGGAATCCAAAAGTAGCAATGATATCAGTTTCATTACCGTCATTAAAAAACATCTGCATGACCTAATATAATATTATAATTTATTGATACCTAAATTTGTTTGCTCAGCACAAATGAATGTGTGGTTGCATTTTCAATTTAATGCTATCACGATTTAAAAGTGTTTCTTTTAACTGTGTGGGGAGATGACGTTCTGTTAGTTTCGTTCTGTTGTCACATTATGCTCTTAAGGGAGACCAAGACAAGATGGCAAGTCCGGCCACAAGCGAGTTGGTCCCCTCAAAAAATACTAGTACTTCTGTAATTTGGCAGCGTTTTGGCTTCAGACGCACATTTGTTTACATTTTACAGAAAAAAAAAACTTAAAACCATGACTCATTTGCATAAATGAGCGCTGATAAAAAAGCTAAAGATAAAAACAGTGGAGGATGTGCAGCTGATGGTGAGTTTGTTCTGTATCGCGTTGGAGATGGTTCATGTGA